GTTTCCTGTGGCTGCTGTAACAAATTAGCGCAAACTTGGTGGCTTAGAATAGCAAAAATTTATTCTCTCCTAGTTCTGGAGGCCTGAAGTCTGCAGTTAGTATCACTCTGCTGAAATTGAGGTGTTGGCAGGGCCACACTCCCTCCAGAGGCTTGAGGGCAGACTCTTCTTTACTTCTTCCAGCTTCTGGTGGCTGCTGGCATTCCTTGGCTTGTAGCCACATCACTCTACTCTTTAAGTTCAGCATTTTCACATCTCTCTGTTTTGTCTTCATATCACCTTCACTTCTGTGCTTGTGTCAGATCTTCCTCTGCCTTTTTGTTATAAGGACATTGTGAATGTGTTTAGGGCCTATCTAGATAATCCAGGATAATCATTTTAAGGTCCTTAATCACATCTGCAAAGACCCTTATCCCTTATAAGGTAACATTTACAGGTTCCAGGCATTAGGACCTGAAGTCTTTGGAGAGTTATATTTCTGCCTACCTCACTGGGTGACTTTGGGAGATGACTTTCACCAATATGTTTTTCCTTATCTGCAAAAGAAAACTGGTGGTCATATCTTCTATAACTTGTTTCCATGAGACTTAAGTGACACTTTTGTATGCCAAATATTTAACACAGTGCCAAGTATGTAGTTGTTGTGCCTAATATTATTTATATACATATATTACACATTACTGTTATTTAGCCATCTTCTGTTAGAGGGAGAGGAATAGTTCCTTAAGAGTTTGACTTGGAATAGCCCCCCTCTCCCCCGTGCCTCCACCATGGCTGCATAGCCCTAGGATCTTTGGCAATTACTTCCCACAGTCAGCCCATGTGTCCTCTAGGCCACCCTGTTACCCATTCCTTCATTTTTCTTTCCCAATGTGTGGGCTGGTCTTTGGGAACAAACTTTACCCTTCAGGACTGAATGAGTCTCCTTCATATGTTGAAGCCCTAACCCTAGTGTGGCAGTATTTAGAGTAAGGAAGTAATTAAGGTTAAATGAGGTCATAAGGGTGGGACCCTAATTTGACAGGATTATGCCTTTATGAGAAGAAAAACCAGGGAGCCCTCTCTTTTTCTCTGCACCAGGCAATGAAGGAAGACCATGGAAGGACATAGGCAGAAGGTGGCTGGAAACAAGCCAGGAAAAGAGCTCTTATTGGAAACCAAATGGGCCAGAACCTTGATCTTGAACTTCTAGGTCCAAAACTGAGAAAACAAATTTCTGTTGTTTAAGCCATCAGGTCTATGGTATTTTGTTATGGAAGCCTTACCAGACTAATGCAGGGGGTATAACCTAGCTCATACCCACTTGTGCCTAAACACTTAGGGAGAAGCTTGGATTCTGGAATTATTCCCATTTACCATTAAAGGCAGCTTTCTGTGTTGCTGCTTTCCCACGGATAATTGTAACTTCATAATGAAGCATAGAAGAATATTATTTTTACAGTGATAGTATCTGATAGCTATTAGCCAAAAGGTATATGTCCCCAATGAGGTACTGTAAATATATTTTATCTGTTCTATTACTTGCTGTTTCATGAACACATCCCTGAAGCATTTTAATCTTGTTTTTCATACTTGTCTTTATGTGAAGAATTGTTCTGATTTGCAACTTTGGGGGATAATTACTGTGTTCATTAATTTTTGTTCTTCCCCTCCTTTTTTTACTAGTTTCTTGAGAAAAATTTTCCCTAAATCTACACTAACCGAGACAGGTCACTTGATTAACAGGGTGTTTTACAACACTGTTTTCTCTGGCTTCCTTGGCACACTGATGGGAGGGCTGTCTGGGCTTAGATGAATAAGAGGCTTTTGGGGGGCCTCTGACCTCAGGCTGCATTGCAGAATATTTTTGGCTCTGGGATATTCTTGGACAAGGGGCAGGAGAGACTCACCTGGTTTTCTCCTTATTAGACATTCAGACATAAATCGAGCGTGTATTATGTATAGGACATTGTGTGTGGCACTTTGGGGGACGTGATTCTTGCCTCACAGCGGTGTTCAGTACATGTTGATTAAGTGAATATGTGGCTGGATAGAGAGTAGCCTTAGCATTCAGAGAGACTGAAGGGGCAGGCTAGAGGGTCAGTGCCTGGGGGTAGTGGGTGAAGGGTGCTGTAACCTCCCTGGGAATATAACAGAATTGGGACCATCCTCTTGAGGGCCATGATGCTCTAGCACTTGAATCTGCAAGAGGAAGCAGTAGAGGGGGAAGGTTGCATCGAGGATGGTTAATTTTTGCACTTAATTTTTTTCTGGTATTTTGGCTTCGTAAGTCCCTTCTTTTTATTGTGAGTCCTCAGTTTTCATTGTTATGTATGTTCTGTGTAAGTGTAGATGTTTCATAAATGTCAAATGATCACACAAGACAGTTGAGGGAAGAGATGAAAAAATAGTAGTTTAGACAGGTTAGTTTAGGGTAGGGCAGAGGCAGGGATGTATGTGAAAGATGCCTGGGAAAAGAACTGAAGAAGGTGAGAAAGCAGAAGCCAGAAAGGATTTGAATTAATGTGGAACTGGAGAGAAGTTTGATCTGGGCTAGATAGATACCCAGGGAA